TTTTACATTGATTGGTTTTATTTCGGATTTGTAAATAGGATTACAAATACCTGTGTTGATGATGCTCATTGTAGCACCAGAATCTATTAAAAATATTAAAGGTCTTCCTTTTGATTGAACTTTTATATAAGGAAGTTCTGATGTTTTTCCGAGGCTTGCGAATGAAAATTTTCTATTTCCAAGTTTCTTTTCGATTTACTAACTTCTTAGGTGTTTACTCTACGCGTGGTCCTCGTATGGACTTCCATTGGTTCGATGTGTTGAGTACCATGCGAGTTAAAGTTAGAATTTGTTCTATTAAAATTATGATTATTTCTAGTATATTAGTACTACTATTACTAATTTGATTAGTTCTACTACTACTGTTAAAATTACTATTTTGTAAACTTTGGTTAGTATAATTGTTTATTAAATGTTCATTATTTCTGTTACTGTTATTATAATTTCTGTTTCGGTTAATGTTATTAAAATTATTATGATTAAAATTGTTTGCTCTATTAGAATTATTTTGGTTATTAGGCATATAGATATTTTGTTTGGGTGGTTTGTTTAAATTTGATTTATTTTTGAAAGAACTGTAATATGAATATTTGCTTTCATGCAAAATATCCATTGCTTCTTCTATTGTAGCCGAATTTCTGAAACATAAAATGGAACGCATTGGTTCTGGTAACTTGTCTTTGAAAATATTTAAAGCTGTTTCGATATTTATGGCGGTTGTAAAAACTGAGTTAGGATCAGCTTTTACTTTATTATTGAGTCGCCTCAATATCTTTTTAATTTCATTGAAGAAGTCTACACTATGAGTAGTAAAACTGACTGCCCTTAGTTCATCATAGATTTGCAAAACAAATTTACTATCTCCAAAATTATTAATCAAGACGGATTTCATTTCCGACCAACTTTGAGTATTATTATTAATTTCTAACACTTCCCTAGCACTACCTATAACTTTACTTCTTACTTTATTTAATAAAATTTTTTGACTACTAGTATCATATCTTAATATTAAAGGACAAATATCGTCCACTAATTCTATAAAAGAATAAAGTTCTTCACCTTTTCCGTTAAATTCTGGTAAATTTTGGATGTACTGCATCGGATCTACCGTTAATTGCAGCGGAGCTCAATTAACGGTAGATCCGTTAATGTTGGCGGTAGCTGAAGATGTTGAAGCACCAGTGTTGTTTGTTGCCATTTTGAATATTTCCTCGTACCTAATTGTTAATGCTTTTCTTTTCTGGAATCCACTTTTCACTTTTTCTTTCAATGTTCTTTTTTTTGTATTTAATTTTTATTTCTTTTTGTAATATTATTTTGTGGTTATTGTTTTATAATTTTTATTTTATTAAAATTTTACTGGATGTTTAAGTTTTACAACATTAAAAGTTCAAAACAAATTTTTCAATTTTTAGTTTCAGAAATTTTTTTTTTTTTTTTTTAAATTTTATTTGAGTTCTACACCGTTTTTCAGATTTAACTTTTTATGCGAATCTTTTTATCTTTTTAGATCTTAGCCATTAAGATGATCCTACCGGCTGCGCAACTTACGTATTTCAAGATTTCAAGACGTGGATTAAAAGCACTTTTTTATTTTTTGTATTCAAAAGTTTTTTCTTTTATTTAAAATTATTTTTTTACTTAAATTATTTTCATTTAAATTATTTTTATTAATTTTACAAACTTGTTAATTCCGCTTCTTAGAACTAACTTACTTTTTATTTTTTATTAACTTTCTTTCCCAATATTTTTGATTCAAAGTAAAAATTCCTTGAATGGCAATTTTTGTTTATTATTTAAAATTCATAATTACAATTTAATTAAAATAGTTCGATAAATTGCAAACGGATGTTACATAACGCGTCACAAATGTTTATTTTAAAAAGTGCAAGTAAAATTTTATTACGAAAGGAAAACAATTTATTTTATTTGATAAAAACGATTTTTATTTATTGAAAAGGTAAGGGGCAATCTTTATTTGAATTTGTTATGGGCAATTCTGTTTTACTACACGTATCATGCGGAGTAAAGCATGGTGGTGACGTAACAATATATTTATAAAATTCAATAATTTTTTCAACTTACAAATTATTAAATAACAAACCTCTCACGCAATGATCAGTAATATGTTGAAATTAAAAATTAATTTAAATGGGATATATTACCAATACCTCACATCGCACTGATTGTGAGGAAATATATACTGCTGGCAAGGCTCCACTTACATCTCTCATCAATCAAAAACGAACTCAAGACAGCATTTCTCCGAAATGAACCAATCCTGTGTTATGAAACCAGTTTCATCTGGAAATAATTTACATAAAATAAAATTGCCAAGATTTGCTGGAAAATATTCTGATTACACTAACTTTATCAATATATTTAAAAACTCCATAGAGAATAATCCGAATTATGAAATAATAAAAATGCAATATATTATTTATTTCTTTAGATGGGTCAGTTTGTATTGATAATTAGATCAATACAAAGTCACAAAAAGTTTTTTGACACAAAAAAAAAGGCGAAAACGTAGCGAATACTAAAATTTGCGACCACGTAGTAAGAAAAAATAAATAAAAAAATTGCCTCTATCTAGTCAATATTAAAGAAATAGCGTCCTTTCTCGACATAGTAATTTTCATGTATGCTACTTATAAAAAAGCTACTTTCTCGACATAGTAATTTTCATGACATCACGAAACGTGGCAATGAACATAATAATTTGTCATTCAGTACGTCGCTGTTTAAGTTCCAAAAACTAAATCCTTACTTAATCCTGGAACTACTATAACTGAACTTTTAATAAAAAAAGCTTTATTGTTCCAAAGCCCTTTTGAATTTACTGCAAAGTCCCCATTACTTAAGCATAAGCTATGTTAAGGTTCCAAAGCATTTTTGGCTACGATAAAGTTTTTTCTTACAAAAACTCATTTGTATTTGTTTACACGAAACATTGCTTGGAATTGCAGTAATATAAACATCACTGACATTATACCACTAAATATATAATAAATTTATAATTTATAAATAAATATTCCCGACATTATGCCACTATTTTTTAAAATTAAATCTTTAATAATTAATTCCAAAAAAAAAAAAATAAAAATACATTGAACCTATTGCGCTTTTAATAATACAAACTGAAAACAAACAATAATTTTTAAGTGTGAATCAAAATTTAATATGTGTTGTTTCGCTCGCTCCAAGTATGCTTTCCTCTTTAAACTTTACGTGGCAAAGTGGGTTAGTGTGATACTAAAAACTTTTTAGCAACATCTCACACATTGTGACCCAAGGCTACTTTGCAGGGATTTTCTTTTTCCACTTTGTCACTTTATAGTACCAAAGGTCAGTTTTGGTTACCAGGAATTTGCAAAAAGTTGAAGTCGACAGTTTACTTTTTGTATTTACAAAGTTCAATATACACAAGGGTTACCATGTTACTTTATTAGCAATTGTTATAGAAAAGTGAAATATTTCATAAATAACATAATAACGTTTTAAAAAGAAAGTTATATAAAATTACTTCATAGACTTATGCTACAAAAATAAAATAATGATAAATTTTTTTTTTTCAAAGTTGTAGTATATATACATACTCGTATTTTACATGCATATTGTATGAATTTATTATAATTGCATGTTTAAACAATAATCAAAAATATTTAAATTAAAAAAAACTAGAATCATTTATTATATCCTGCACTTCGTGAATTTATTAAAGTAAATTTTTGTAATAAATATCTTTCTCTTTCATTCGTATTATAAGTATTGTTTTTTATTAAAAATCTACATGTGTGTGTAAAATTCCGAAAACCACACAAAGACGAAACAGGAACGTTTATTTGTACGGGCACGTTTTTTTTTAACAAAAAGGCACTCAAAATCTCTTCCCCATTTTGGTACCGGGTACGTAGCTGCTGAGTACCCGCTGAGTAGCAATAACATATTGCAATTACTTTATCGTTCCAAAGTTAGTGACTGTTTACGTTCCAGTCTACAAAAATGCTATTCATGTTAAAAATTATTTCCGTACATTTCGGCCAGTGTTAGCTTTGCTAAATTCTGGCGCATAGCCAGAATTTTATAACCGATCGACTTACAAATGAATTGAGCACTATTAAACGTACTGTGATCAATTGAAATGTGAGGATTTCTTCAATTCTTCACTTCAAAGAACAGTATAAAGCATCTCGAAGCAAGATTAAATAGAAATTCAAAGCTCTTTCGATTATCTTCAAACAATATGAATTAAAGCAGTTACACGTAGCCTTTACCTTGCAAGAAAATTGCTCTCATATTTCGCAACACTAAATTCTCAAACTTATTCTATTAGATCGCAAAGACTTTCAAGAGATGTGTACATTGATTATCTTTTAACCGGAGTAAATTCGTAAGAAGGAATAAATTGAACAAGAATTGAAATAGAACAACGTTATCAACTTCTGGAATGGAATACAAAAAGTCAAATTTTGTATATATTGGAGTCTTTTTGGGCAAAATAAGATAACCAAACGTGCAGTTTAGTATAATGCAGCAAGGTTATTTTATCCCATTGGATTTATAAATACCATCATTATAAGATCCAAAATTTTTTAAAAAAGATTTTTAAAATTAGATTGGGATGAATCACTTCGTTTGGATTTGTATTCCGAATGGAAAAAAATCAGAAAAGATTTATACTTTCTTCATCTGTTAACCATTCCTCGTTTTGTATTTCCTTAAAAATTTCACTACAGCGCGAACTTTACGGTTTTCGTGATAGTTTAAAGGCTTTTGTTTGTTGAACTTATTTAAGATGTATTCTTCCGTTTTTCATATAAACTTGCTAACAACTAAATCTAAAATAGTCTCATTAAAGACTCAGTCAATTCTCACTCTAATTTTTTTTCGAATTTATTGAACAAAGTATATCCTTTACTATATCTAAAAATTGATGATGCGTTTCTGTGGACTGATTCGGAGCTAGTTTTGTGTTAGATCTCAGCATATCCTTCAAGATGGGTAATTTTTGTCACAAACCCAATTTCAGAAATTCAGCAGTTAAATGGAAATTATAAATGGAAACATGTAAACTCTGAAGCTAATAGTTTATTTACTGTTCCCAACTTTTTAAAAGAGATGCCTGAACATTGGCCAACACAGAAAGTAACACAGAAGCTAGACAAAGTATTTCGGAAAAACGTTCTTCACATAGTTTCTTGCGACAAAAAATTTAGGTTATTATTTATATGACATTATCTCAAAGTAATGTCATATATGTATATAATTAGTAGCTACAATAAAATTTTCAATTATTCGATATTCGAAAAACTGCAAATGCAAAATAACATTCGTCTTACTGGCACATTTTCTAGCTAAAGAAGAAATTATGCTTTACTTAAAATAGAAATAACACAAAATAAACATTTCTATTCAACAAATTTTTCAAAAAATTTCAACCCTCTTTTAGAAACTTAAGACTCTGCGTTGCTCTGAAGGTTGGAGGAAGACTCGATAATGCAGATGTTCCACATTCTGCAAAGTTTCCAATTTTCTTACTGAACGATGATCATTTTGAGCAGCCGTACACGAAGATCTTCCTAAAACGATACCTTAGAACGTGTCCTCCTTTTCAATGGCATCTGCTGACGCGTCATATATGTTAATCTTCAGCACCTGGCCTCCTCAGACTTTCTTCTGCATAACTATTTTGAGACCTGAGTGTCTATTCATTTATTAAGTGCCTGGAAGATTGCCAAAGTCTTGCTCGACTCTTGGTCCGTGCTTCTGGGTACGTACACCTTTCCATGCACTCAACGTAGGTACCTGCCTAGCCACCTATCTTGAAGCCTCTTCGTCTGTGCAGTTTGAGAGAATTCGCTGAAAGAGTATGACCTCATTCCAGCTCTTGACCTCTTCGAGAGTTTTTCTCCGGTCCAGGAAACGTAGGTCCCACTTTACGCCGGCACCACAGTCACTTCACCTAGATTATTCCAAACTTCCTGGTTTTCCCAACGACGTAATAATTGTAGATTGTACATAGCTCTCTTCTCTTTATTTTCTAAAATATAAATCCATACCGGAAGGTGATAGTAAATTAAATGCAAATTAAACAGTAACTCAATAATGCTTATAATTCATGTCATATTTAAATGGAATACAGGGTAGATATAATAATACCTAGCATATTATAATATTATTGTATAATGATATTAAAAATTTTATAATGTGTTATAAAATTAATGATTAAATTAAAGAGAAACATTTAATTTATTCTTTAGGTTTCCTGGTTTCGCCGGAAGGATTTTCAGTTATTAACAGTTGGTCTTTCAACTTATAGCAGTGATGAACGTTTTATCATAGAACACACTAGACACTTAGGTAATTGGGCATTACGAATAAAGAATGCCCGCGTCGAAGATGAAGGATTTTATGAGTGCCAAATATCAACGCATCCGCCACAATCAATATTTGTTGAACTTAAAATAGTTGGCAAGTTACTATTTTTATTAATTTTATTTATTTATTTATTTTCTCTCAAAATTAGTTACAGAGTTTGAATGAGAGGAAATAACAAGAGTAAAATTTCTTTCAAGAGTCAAGAATTTGAAAACAAAAACTAAGGAATTTTGAAGTGATTAAGAATAGTCGTATATTTCTATAAAATAATTGTTTACTTCTATTTTGAATGCCACAGTAGTAAATTTTTTATTTACATTGGTGGCTCTTCAAATAATGTAATTTGTATATTAAATAAAATTCCAGGCCATATAAGTTGAACTATTGTTAGTCAGCTTGTTTTTGTTTCAAAACCAAAAAAAAAAAAAGAAAAAACATCGAAAAGAAAGAAGCCCAATGTGGGTCATGGCACAAATTTCTGTAGTCAACAATTTTTAAATTATTTCACTTCTTCTGGATAGTTTTGTTGGAATTTTTTTGTGTATAAGAAACAGATATGAGAAATGTATAAGAAACACAAAAAATATTTTAAAACCATCAGGTATTCTATTTGTTTTTGTTGCAAGTTCGTTTATATGCACTTTTCACCAAAATCAATTTAAATATTCAGTTATCTACATTCGGAAACATTTTCGATTGTAGTACTGTTATACATAGCATCGTTAGTAAAGTTTTTCCTTTATTTTGGAAAAATATCACGCTTTTATATTTTTATCTTGTCACTGTTTGTGATATTTTCTACTATCCATAGGTCTTGGGCTGCGTAAACTATGATAATGTTATACGTACACAAACAAGGTGCACCATTCAATTTTAAGTGTTTAAAATTCCTATCAAAAATTTAAGACTAGCTTAATTATATTTCCAAGCAGAACACCAAAATCAATGTTATTTATTTCACTCGCATCATTGCATTCACCAAATTGCATTCTATGGCTGAAGTAGCTCTTACACGATTCGTATTCAGCTCCCATAATTAAATATTATTCTCAACATTATGGTCCTCTGAACGTCATCATTTATCAAGTGCAGCTGCATTATTATTTGACTTGTTTTTCAATCCCATATTCGGCATAAATGATATTAATATTCAGACAGCTGCATTACTGATTTTCATGCATACAGTTGTTCATGTATATATTATCACAATTTGACAGAGAGTTGATACAATAAATATAGGCTTAAAATTATTTACACCGCTTTTTTGCCACTTTAATTTTAAATATGAATCACTTTTGTCAATTTCAAGACATTGAGTTGTTAGCATTAATTAGAAAAGTTAGGCTCTGCTCCAGCTAAGCTATCTGTACCAGTTGTATTTAAGATTTAAACTTCTCAATCAGGTGCTAACAAATTTTCCTTTTTTGTTTGATAAATTTTAAATTTTACAGACGTTTCAAATTGTTATGCAAATTCCGTTGCTTGAGAATGAGGTTTTATTTCTTTGATCGTCAGGTTCAGTTGTTTCCTTAATTCTTCCAATCTCAAGACCACAAAACTTTAAAGAAAGATATAAGAAGATGAAGAGAATAATATCAACTCTCGCTCCAAAATAATTTTTTTGTTCTTTCTAAAATCGAGCTCGTCTGGGCTATATCTATCTGCATCCGTTTTATCGTGCTCTAGAAATGTATTTCAAAAAAACTAAATCCGAGGGATCCCAGAAAAGACACTGCGTATAACATTTTAAAAATTTTGAAATAGTTTGGAGAAGATTCGAAAGTAATATTTCGCTATTTTTTATTAAAAAGTAAAAACGTTTCAATCGGTATAAACCGATTGAATTATAACCTGCACCTTTCGTTATTGTGTATTAATTACTCAAACTTGTGAAACCATTCTAGAGAAACTTCATGGATATGTCTGACCTATAACTGGACACACAACTGCCAAGTTTCATGAATCTGACTTTATTATTTTTCCAAATATTTAAAATTAGCTTTAGAAGTTGCATGGCACGTACCCAAACCGGTCAAGCAATTCAAATAAAATTTCGCAAATATATATGATCTATAATTGGACGCATAACTACCAAGTTTCAGGAATCTTACTTTATTATTTTGTCGAATATAAAAAATTTGCTTATGGAGTTGTATGGCAGCCACTCGAACCGGTGCAGCTATCCTATTAAAATTTTTAGAGCATATGTAGAAAATAATTGGACACGTGTATACAAAATTTTATATTGATATCTAAGTTTCTACTAAGTTTTTGAAATATTTAAAATAAACACTTTGAGTTGTATGGCAACTACCCGAACCCGTTGTGCGAATCAGTCAAATTACAATAGGGTTCGTCCTTGGCACAAAAGAAACAACTTGTGAAAGTTTGGTGTCGATTGCATTATTCGTTTTTGAGTTATCGTGCGATCGAAAGGACGGACATGTCTAAATCAACGCATCATTTCACGTTAGGCAAGAATATATATTATATATGTACATACCGCAGATGACTCCTTCAAGTAGTTATAAACTCCATACCAAAGTTAATATACCCTTCACGAAGTGCAGGGTATAAAAATGTGTACATTATAAAGCAAAAGGCGCAAAGGCTTCCATATTGAAAAAAAAACGTTTTCACTGTAATACTTCATTTTTTTTTGTTGTGTTTTAGAAACTTTAAACTTTTAGGGGTGTTAATTTCCAAATTAATTGGAAACCGTTTTGAATACGTAGAAAAATCGTATTATTTAAGCGGTGCTGTCACGAATGTAAAATTTGTTAAAATCTTTCTGTTTGTTAAATATTTAAACATTATTTTGGCAATCTAGTAAAAGAGCTTAGAAACTCAAGTTTAAAAACGGTTTAAATAATGTTTTTCTTACAATATTGGAATCACCAATATTATATTTTTTAAAGCATTGAAGTATAATTATTTGTTACAGAATTTGACAGGTTATTTCTATTAATTATTCTTCTTCTGGCTCTATTTTTTATTTAATCTTCCTCTTTTGAATTGGTTTTCTGCAGTTCTTTGCTATTGGCGGACTCCTAATTTTTTCAAGTGCTCCTCTACACCATTTATGCATCTTGCTCTTGGTCTGCCTCCTCATCTATTTACCATGGGTTTATTTTTAAAGGTACGTTTTTGCTTGCGATTTTAATCCGTTCGAGCTAAGTGACCTGCCCACCTTAATTTAGTTCATTGTTTGCTCAACACAAGTACATACATATTTAATTATTTATTTATTCTATAAATAATTTCTATTATAAATTTCTCTCTTTTGTCAGCTTGTAAGAGTCCACGCTTTGCATCCGTAGGTCACAATGGGCCCGGTAATTGTCTTATACAAAGTTAACTTTAAAACTCCCGCCTGGATTCTTTTTTTACACAAAGATGCATACTGTTATCGCTAGATATTATTGCACCTAGATATCCAAAATGTGTGACTCCTTCGAAGTTGTTATCGCCAATAGTAATATTTTTCGAAGCCCCTCTCCTTTCGTTTCTACTCATTTTCTTCCCTTTTTTACTACAAGTCCCAAATAAGATGCTCTTTCGGACAGAGTAACGAAAGTTTCAGCTATTGTTCTGTAATTTTTTGAAACAATGCAGACATCATCAGCATAAGTGACTAATTGATATGGTCTCGTAAAAATTTGTGCTCCTGCTTCTAGTGGCCGTATCACGTGGTCAAAATTATATTATATGTATATTAAGCTGGATAGAACGTCCCCCTTGTCTTACTCCTAGGTTAACCGAAAATTCTCTAGAAATTTGACCCTGGATTGATGCAGCAGCCTTTGAATCCTTCTTTGTAAGTAATGATATTTCGATTAATTTGCGTGGAATTCCGTGCTGGTTTAATGCTTCATGTATTTTGCTTCGTCTAACAGAATCGAAGGCCTGGTGGAAGCTAATGCATAGTATGTGTAAATCGCTTTTATATTCGTAGCATTTTTCCATAATTTGTTTAAGCGTGAATATTTGATGAACCATAGACCGGTTTTCTCTAAAGCCACATTGATATTCATAGTGTGCCTCACTATGATTATATTGTGATATATATGATAAATGTCGATAATATTTTGTACATAATATGCAACAACATTATGCCTCGGTAGTTTTTTCATTTTATCTTATCACTCTTTTTATGTATAGGTATAATACGTCCCAGTGTCCATTCATTCGGGAATTCTTCCCCTGCACCATATATTGCACATCAGGCTAGGTGTGCTCAATAACAACACTTCGCTGCCATTCTTAATCAGCTATATTGTGATTCCGCTTTTCCTGGAAACCTTATTGTTTTTTAATTTGTATATTTCCTCTTTTACTTCTTCAATTATGGGTAGGTCTATAACTGAGTCTAATGGTAAATCATCATGAATGCTCTCCTCACTTTCGGCATAACCAATGTTTAATGTTTTTTCGAAATATTGCACTCATGGCTTTGATTCTTTGTTTGGCTATGTTGGAAATTCTTTGCCTTGCGACCAGTTTAACCAGAAAGTGTTCACTGTCACAGTTCACACCCCTGATTGTTCTAACGCTTAAGATTGAGGAAGCTTTCCTTGAAGAAATTAGAAATTCCTTGAAGATTGATCAATCTGGTTCGCAGCATGGGAACTTGGGATCTTTCATGTTTCCTTATAATAATCTTTTCTTTCAAAAGAAGTGCTTTTGACTTTTAATGCTGTTTAGCTGGCTTTGCAGTTGGCATAATCGTAGACCATTACCATTTGTATTATTATGCAAAGAATGTACTCCTTCAACATCTCGTATAAGTTCCTCTTTTCCAATTTTGGCATTTAAGTCGCATAACAGTATTATAGTGTCGTATGCTCCAGTTTTTCGCATATTGCACTTAAGTTTTCATAAAAAATATTTTTTTACGATTCTGTATCATCCTCAGTTGGAACGCAGGCACATATAATCGTAATATTACAGAATTTCTACTTCAGTCTTAATGTGCATAATCGGCTATTAATGGTGTGAAACCCAGTATTGAATGTCTTTATTTTTTACTTATAATAAACCCTGTACGATACAATCACCAATTGTTTTTACCCCACTATAATATATGGTGTATTCGGGTTTGTTAATCTTTCCGTATCCTTTCCACCTGGTTTCTTGTGCAGCCAGGACGTCTATTTCATATCGTATTGCTATTTCTTGCATTTTTCCAGATTGCAACATCGTTTTAACTTCATCTAGTTTCCTAGTTCTTATTCCATTATTTCCACCTAATATCCGAGGCATCTTTGAAGATTGTATAACATGTTTTTACAGTATCCGGTTGTTGGTTGGGTTATTTGAGGGCCGGATCATTTGATTTTGGAGTTTCCCTAGCCTTTGAGAGTTAAATCCCGCGTTGTACATAGCAGCACCATCGGCAGTTGCTTCATGATATTGATATGGATGAATGAGTCTAGATGGCTATGTTACCAGGGCTTCCCTACATATCAAAACCAAGGTATATCTATAAAGAAGTAGTTCGACTCACCGTTTACATCACTAATGCAATCACTCACTAATATTTGTATACAAGAAATTTCCTTAGCTAAGTAGTTAAGCAGTATACCTTCTTTTTTTCATTTTTATACACATAAGAATTTTTGGGAGTGGGAAAGAGTACGCAATAGATGTCTACCAGTTATGAATATTACTAATACAACATTATAGTTGCGGAATTAATAAGAATGTGCTTATTACACTACTAATTTATCTTAATGGAAATTTCTTCATGCAACTGCAGAACAGATGGATGACGTAATCAAAGGAACGAGTTAAAGGCAGAAAAATTCATTAAAAAAATTTTTCTCCTCGAACTGGACTCGAACAAGTGACCTACCGCTTTCTAGGCGGACGCTCTATCAACTGAGCTACAGAGGCATGAAGAAATTGCCGACGAAATGTTCTCTACATTGCTTATACTGTAATTCACCTGATTACTGAGTATTTGTTTTGTTTACATTGATTGCTACATACAATCTACTATTGAAACAGACAATAACAAGAACATATATATTTATAGGATTGTGCCTATTGCACTAATTAAATTATGAATTTTACTAAAACAACATCATAGTTGCGTAATTAATAAGAATGTGCTTATTACACTACTAATTTATCTTAATGGAAATTTCTTCATGCAACTGCAGAACAGATGGATGACGTAATCAAAGGAACGAGTTAAAGGCAGAATAATTCATTAAAAAAATTTTTCTCCTCGAACTGGACTCGAACCAGTAACCTACCGCTTTCTAGGAGGACGCTCTACCAACTGAGCTACAGAGGCATGAAGAAAGAGCGTCCGCCTAGAAAGCGGTAGGTCACTGGTTCGAGTCCAGTTCGAGGAGAAAAATTTTTTTAATGAATTTTTCTGCCTTTAACTCGTTCCTTTGATTACGTCATCCATCTGTTCTGCAGTTGCATGAAGAAATTTCCATTAAGATAAATTAGTAGTGTAATAAGCACACTCTTATTAATTCCGCAACTATGATGTTGCATTAGTAAAATTCATAATTTAATTAGTGAAATTTAAATTTAGCGGACGCTCTTTCTTCATGCCTCTGTAGCTCAGTTGGTAGAGCGTCCTCCTAGAAAGCGGTAGGTCACTGGTTCGAGTCCAGTTCGAGGAGAAAAATTTTTTTAATGAATTTTTCTGCCTTTAACTCGTTCCTTTGATTACGTCATCCATGTGTTCTGCAGTAGCATGAAGAAATTTCCATTAAGATAAAATGTCTACCAGTCTTTTTTTATAATGTATTTTTAAAAGCGGGAGTTATTTATTTTTTCGTATATTAAGTATAGGAAAAAATATTAAGAATTTTAAAAGCGGGAGTTTTATTTCTGCAACTTAATCCAGTACAAGGTGGCAAAAAATGTGTATTCATATTATAAAAGCGAAGCGGAAAAAATGTTTAAAAAAAATTCTTATAATTTATATAATAAAATTTTGAAAATTTCATTTATTCCCAAAAGATGTGGAGAGGTAAATATGTACTTTTGAAAATATTTTAAATCAATAAATAAATAATTTATCTTTAAATTTTTTATATTTATTTTAATGTTAATAAATTTAAAACATATTTCCTATGAATCGGTAATAATTATATTTCATAAAGCATTAACCAGTATGCATACACTTTTTTTTATATTCGTACGAACGTATGTTCGAAGGGTATACTAAATTTGCCTTACCGTTTGTAACGCTAAGAAATAACGGTCTTAGATATAGACTCAAGTGTAAGTTTTGATCAGCGTCAAGTTCTGAGTTGGCTTAGCTTTGTCTGTCCGTCCGTCCGTCCATCCGTCCGTCCGTGCGTCGGTCCGTCCGTCCCAGCGATAACTCAAAAACTAATTGAGTTAAGTTCACCAAATTTTCACAAATGATTTTTATATATATTTAAATAGACATAATTTTATAGATATTTAAATTGGACATAATGGAGGTACCGGTTCGGGTAGCTGCCATACAACTTGAAAAATTATTTGGCTATATCTAAAAAACTATAAAAGTTATGGTATTGAAATTTCACACAAGCGAATATATTAGCAGGGCCAACATGCTTGATAAAAGTCGTTCAAATTGCTTGGCTTCTTCTGGTACCTGCCATACAACTTTAAAAGTTATTTGGCTATATCTCAGAAACTATAAAAGCTCTGGTATTCAAATTTCACACAACCGAATGGATTACTAGGGCCAATGTGTTTGATAAAAGTCATTCAAATTGCTTGGCTCCTTCTGGTTGCTGTCGTACAATTTCAAAAGTCATTTGGCTACATCTTAGAAACTACAAAATGTGTAATATTGATATTTAACACAAGCGAATCTATTAGTAAGGCCGATGTGCTTGATAAAATTCGTTAAAATTTTTTGGCTCTTTCTGGTAGCTGCCATACAACTTCAATAGTAGTTTGGCACACACAAGTTATGTCAGTAAACTCAAATGAAGTCAATTTGAAAGACGAGACCTCATTTCCGTCGCCTTTCTTTTATAAAATTTAACAAAATTTTCCATTAACTTAAAATAATAAAAAAAAAATTCTTTCCCATAAATTTCATAATTCTTATTTTCATATTTTTGCATAATATCAAAAAAACTCACAATCATTACATATCAAAAAAACAGTAATTACTTTCACATAAAAAAAATTGTTTTCAAATAAAAGTTAAAATATCAAATTACATACAAAAATAAAATTAACACACTTAAAGTAATTACTGCTGACTAAAGAGTTTTATGCTTCCAAGTAGCTTAGGTTAATAAATTCATTTTATATCAATATTTATTATTAAGTTTGCTTTCAAAAAGAAAAGTTCAGTTTTACTGTTAATCCTAAGATTAAAGTAAATTGAAATAAATAAATTAACTAACTTAGTCCTAAGATTAAAGTAAAGTTAAATAAATAAATAAAACTAAAATTTAAATTTTTGGTGTTTTTATTTTATTTATTACGGAAAAATAAAATAAATATAATTGGCGCAGAACGGTAATTCTGTTGTCTAAAGATAAACAGTTTAGTGATCGAATCGTATAAATTTAAATTTATAACTCAATTTAAACTAAAGTTTAAATAAAAAAAAAAAAAAAAAAATTATGTAATAATAAATTTGTAATATAAGTTAAAATTAAACCAAGCAAAAACAATTCATAATTTATATAAAAGTGTAACAGTTATTCATTTAAAAGAACATTTCAAAAAAAAAAAAAAAATATACATAAATATATATTTTCAATAAAGCCAATAAAATTGTTATAATTTAATAGTACAAACAATTAATGCCAAAAGAAAAACAAAAATCTAGAAGTGAAAGACCATTAATTTATGAGATACCAGAAAAAATGGCATTAAATAATAATAATAATAATGTTAATAATAATAATAGTGCTAACAACAACAGGGCGGAATTTACTTTAACTGCCAGTGACTTGCTAAAGGATGCCCAACGCATCCATGAGTTCAAAGGAAATGTTGATTACGCCCAATCATCGTTCATAAGGGAGGTAGATACATTACTACCCCTGTTCGACAACAGTCCTGATTTGAAGCAGTATGCCTTTATAAGGATTATCATCAATAAAATACAAGGACAAGCTCTGGACGTTATGCGAACGCTGGGACCAAATTCAACTTGGGAAAACATCAAAGGAATCTTAACCAACAACTTCGGAGTTCAACAAACATATCACCAACTTTATCAGGAAGCCTTATCTCTAAAAAGTAATTCGGTGAGTGATTATTTCAATAAATTAAAAATTATTTTATCAAAATTAAACGAAAAATTCGAATTTGATAGTAGAAAACCTCAAGAATTTAATCCAAAAATAAATGAACCTGTAATCTTTAACACCTTCTTGAATAATATTGATACAAATTTAGCTTCAGTAATTATAAATAAAAATATAGAAAATCTTAGGGAAGCTTATAATACCCTAGTAAATTTAAATCTTATTCGAGATAAAAATAGTAATAACATTAATAAATATGATAATCACTTTAATAACCGAAATAAATTTAATCATTTTACAAAATATGATAACAATAAAAATTCGAAAAACAAATTTAGTAATATTAATTTTCAAAACAATAACCAATATTAAAATTATAATAATTATAATAATTCCGGACAGACCAGACTAAATAATCATAATTACAGAACAAGTAGTAATAGACCAGAACCTATGAAAGTTGATCATATTGAAGGTGAGATAAATTTTCTTACAGGTCGCCAAAAACGAAACTATTGATAGTAGAATCAACGGTTGAAAACGAAAAAATCAGATGTTTAATAGACACTGGTTCTTCAACTACTCTCTAAGATTATAATAAACTTCCTAGATATAGGAGGTATAATATTAAGAAACCTATCCTTTTTAACACGATAAATAGAACTGTATATGTAAATCAAGAAATAAAAACAGGTCTGCCTCTAGAATTTAATGAAGACGCAGAAATGATTTGGAAGTTAATTAAATTTGATAATAAGGATTTTGATGGTATAATAGGTCAGAATCTTCTTAGGCCTCTGAAAGCCATAATCAACATGGAAGATGACGTTTTACAAATAAATAATAGAAAAATTAAATTTTTAAATAGTTGTCCATATAATGAAAATGAAATTCACCAATTAGATTATAGTAGTATAAACAGTAACGACTTTGAAATATTGACTAAATCTCTAAACTCTGAAGAAAAAACTGATTTAAATAAATTATTAAATAATTATAGGGATCTGTTCTTTAAAGAGGGGGATCATTTAACTAGCACCACAGAAATTCAACACCAAATTATAACCACTATTGACAGGCCGATATATTCTAAAATATATAGGTATCCTCAGATTCACGAACAGGAAATATCGAAACAAATATCCGACATGCTCAAACAAGGAATAATAAAAGAGAGCAATTCACCTTACAACAGTTCTTTATAGATTGTGCCGAAAAAGACGGACAATTCAGGACAGAAAAAATGGAGAATTGTGATCGACTACCGTAAACTGAACGAAGTGGCGGTTGACGACAAATTCCCCATTCCCAACATCGGGACTATACTAGACAAACTTGGAAGAGCCCAATACTTTACTACCCTGGACCTTGCCAAAGGTTTCCATCAAATTCTAGTAAAGGAGGAAGATAGAAAGAAAACAGCCTTTTCTACTCCTCTGGGGCACTATGAGTATATAAGGATGCCCTTCGGCCTGAAAAATGCACCAACAACTTTTCAGCGCCTAATGAACCATATTCTTCGAGATTTTATAAATAAAATATGTGTCGTCTATCTCGACGATATTTTAATTTTCAGTACGACTCTAGCAGAGCATATTAAAAGTATAAAATTAATTTTCAATAAATTACGGGAATTTAATCTGAAGATTCAATTCTATAAATGTAACTTCTTCTCTAACGAAACCGAATATTCTAACACCCGAGGGAGTTAGACCAAAACCAAAGAAAATTGAGGATATCCGTAAATTGAAATTACCGGAGACTCAAAAACAAATTAAATCGTTTTTAGATATGTCTATGACTCGGTACCTAAAGAAAAATGTGAAAGTCAACACTAATGATTCGAACTACATAAATGCCTTCGAAAAATTAAAGAAATTAATAACTGAAACACCTATACTTAAGTACCCCGACTTCAATAAAAAATTTAAACTTATAACAGATGCCAGTAGAAATGCTATTGGTGCTGTTCTCCAACAGAATAGCCACTCAGTGGGTTTCGCTAGTAGGACCCTCAATGAACATGAGAGGAAATACTCAGCAACTGAAAAAGAACTATTAGCAATTGTGTGGTCGACTAATTACTTTAGACCTTACCTTTACGGTGTTAAATTTGACTTATTAACTGACCATCAACCATTAAAGTAGTTACACTCTAAAACACAAGGTAAGGACGTCAATCCAAGACTGTATCGTTGGCTACTCAAACTAGGAGAATATAACATTAATATCGACTATATAAAGGGTAAAGAAAATAAAGTGGCTGATTTTCTCAGCAGAATAAACAACGAAACTCATGAAATTAATGCAATCGAGACGATCGACCCAGAAAGGGGGGGGGTGACGATGACACAAATTCATTACATAACAACTTTGACGAAAATGAGACAATACACTCTCAGGAAGAAGACCTTAATGACCACATACCAATACTAGAGACAGTTGTAAACAGATTCAAAACACAAATTATTTTAACAAATGAAAAAATTAGGGAAACAGAAACAGTACATAACAATAGGAAAATTTATATAAACTCACAAGACTTAGAAAATAATTTATCTGACATTTTAAGAAGATACATAAAACCAGGTAAAGTAGGAATTTATACGGATCTACCTGACTATCAATATAATATTTTGCAACAAAAAATAAAAGATCTATTTAGTGACATTGGTACAATTAGGTTCGTAAAATGTTCATTCCATGCAAAGGATATGAAGGCAGAAGGAGAGGCTTATAAACAAATAAATAAATACCATAGATTAGAAACTGGACATACAGGAATTTTAGAAAATTACGAGGGTTTAAAACGTCATATATATTTCCCAAATCTTAAACTTCTTATTCAAAAGTATATCAATAACTGCGACATATGTAGTAGAGTAAAGTACGATAGAAACCCAATAAAAGATAAATTTAAATTCACCGAAACTCCAAAAAATATTAAACAAATTCTACACATGGATGTATATACTAATTCCAAATCAAATTTTTTAACTTTCTTAGACAAATTTTCAAAATTCGCGACAGCTTATTACCTTGAAGATAGAAACAATCAGACAATAATTGAAAAACTCAGGGACTATAAATCACAAAGAGGACATTTTACAAAATTAGTGACAGATAACGAATTTCGTAGTATAAATATAAGAAACGAAAATATTGAACTCCATTTAGTTAAACCCAATTCACATACCGGTAACTATGACATAGAACGGTTACATAACACTCTTAGTGAGACAATTAGAATGCTAGGAATAGAAAATAAAGAACTTAATATTAAAGAAAAGGTTTCTAAGGCTATAGAATGGTACAATAATAGCTATCATTCTACAACTAACGAAAAACCCATAAACATCCAAGAAGGGAAATGTGACGTCAAGACAATTTATAATAATATTCTCAAAGAAAAAACTAGAATTGTAAATAAAAATAATAAAAAAAAGGGAAAACTACCAAGATAATAGAATAGAGGGTTATATTTAAAAAGTTATAAAAGTGTTAGACATAAAGAGCAACCCAAATACAATAAACATAAACTAGATAACATTCATTCATCCAATATTAAACGAAAGACTAAATTTGCAGGTAAAATTAATATTCAAAATGTTACTGCTGACGATAATGCTGAGTTACTGCCAGGGACATCTGACAGTAGAACAGATTAATACAGACCTTGGGTACTCAGAAATAAAATTAAATGACGTTAAATTAGTAAAAACTTACGACACAATATTACATATCGTTAACATCGAAGAAATTTCAAACATTTTAAATACTTTTGAAACCAATATAAAATATGCAAACCTTGACGAAAGAGAAAACACTTTAAAACTTCAAATACAAACAATTCGTACAAAAATACATACATTAATTCCACATAGACAAAAACGAGGTCTAATTAACTTTGTAGGCACAGTACATAAATAGCTTTATGAGACAATGGACAATACAGACAGATTAGAAATCGAAAATCACCTAAACATTATAACACAAAATAATCATATGGCAATAACCAATTTAAACAAACAAGTAAAAATTAATCAAAATTTCAACGAGTCTTTTGTAAAACTTAAAGAAGCAATAGAACAAGACAGAAATACAATTTCGAGAAAATTTAACATGATTAGAGAACATGAAAAACAATTATTTACACAAACAATCTACACTGACTATGCTTTAAAACTGAAAATTTTACAAGACAATATAGAACACTCACAAGATAACATTTCATCAGCAAGATCAGGTACAATATACAGTAGTTTACTAACAAAGGAAGAAATTATTGGATACGACATTGACTTTGATAAACTCCATAATATAAAAGTAGGAACTTTAACTGACGACAAAAACAATTTAATTTTCGCTATAAATATTCCAAAAGAATTTATAGAATTAACAGTTTCATTACTAATACCAATGACTGACAATACAAATAGAGAATTAAAATTTACTCCGGAAAATATTTTAAAATATGATAATAAAACTTTTACTTACACAAAAAATACAGACTTAAAAAATTTAAAACCATCAAACAATTGCCTAATTAAAAGAAATTGTAATAAATCATTTAATAATGTTTCAGAAATTTTAGAAATCCAAGAAGGTTTAGTAATTGCAAAAAACCAATATAATGTAAATCTTTCAAGCAATTGTGATGAAAGATCATTTCTTATGAATGGAAATTATTTGATTAATTTTAACAACAGCTGTTCTATAAATATCAACAATTTTACAATAAAAAATGAAAAAACTGAATTTAAACATATTTTTTTATTATCAAATTTTGAAGAAAATATTGCAAATGTAAATAATGAATTAAGTTTTGATAATATTATCTTAAATCAAATTGAAAATTTTAACAAGATTACAGAAATAAAATACAAAAGAAAATCATATTATATATACGAAATTATTACATCTATTTGTATACTTACCATTTTGATCATAATTATAACATTTGCCTGGAAGCACAAAATTTTTAAAATTAAAATTAATATGACGACTCAGGAGAGTCCTCAAACAAGGGAAGGAGGAGATATGTCAGAAAACTCAAATAAAGTCAATTTGAAAGACGACACCTCATTTCCGTCGCCTTTCTTTTATAAAATTTAACAAAATTTTCCATTAACTTAAAATAATAAAAAAAAAAATCTTTCCCATAAATTTCATAATTCTTATTTTCATATTTTTGCATAATATCAAAAAAACTCACAATCAACAGTAATTACTTTCACATAAAAAAAATTGTTTTCAAATAAAAGTTAAAATATCAAATTACATACAAAAATATAATTAACACACTTAAAGTAATTACTGCTGACTAAATAGTTTTATGCTTCCAAGTACCTTAGGTTAATAAATTCATTTTATATCAATATTTATTACTAAGTTTGCTTTCAAAAAGAAAAGTTCAGTTTTACTGTTAATCCTAAGATTAAAGTAAATTGAAATAAATAAATTAACTAACTTAGTCCTAAGATTAAAGTAAAGTTAAATAAATAAATAAAACTAAAATTTAAATTTTTGGTGTTTTTATTTTTTTATTACGGAAAAATAAAATAAATAAAATAAATACATGTATGAAATTGTGTACATTCATACATGAAATTTCAAACTCATATCTTTTGCTTTCATACAATCGAATTTTTTACCTAACATTAATAAAGTGAAATTAAAAAAATTAATTTTGTTACTATCAAAATAAAAATAAAATTTTTACCTGACTTAATTTAATTATATTTCAGTTCAATGTTTTTGATACACTCATTTGTTTACAATATTTTGTTTCTTTCTTGCCTACACAACTCTTATTACCATCTATTTCTAAATAAAAATGGAATATTTTAAGAATTTGGCAGCAAAATGCAATGGAAAACTGACGGAATGGAACGAGTCGACATACTTATTAATAGGTATACTTTGATCAAAACTCTACTTCCTGTACGCTGTACCTATTAGCCCGTATTATCAGGAGGGCCCTAGAGGAGATTGGTAGATGCGCTTTCCTCCTTTTTTCTAGTAATTGCAAATGTTTAAAATTTTTTTTCTTATGTTAGAATGTGAATTTTGATTGCGCACAAGAACCCTCGTATCTATATTATGCAACACATGTTCAAAATAGCTACTGAATATTCGTCCTGAAAACTCTGGCTGTCTTTAAGAGATATTACCCCAGATACTAT